GCACTGGGCAGTCATTCGCGCCCATTGCTAAATTATTTATGTCTTCAAGCTGTTTGAATCTACGCGGCAGGTACTAGTTACCATTGGCAAAATGTGCACGTGAGGCATGTGACTAGCAATGTGAGGTGAAACCAACCCATTCGGCATTCCTCCCAATACCCAACGCCTCACCTTGGCGTGCTGTTGGCAGTTTTCCAATTCTGTTCAGCCTGGTAGTTTTACAACCCGTTAAACTCCTAATACCGGACGTCAGCTGAGCAAAGCTTTGAGCCGAGTTGGCTGGTATGGGCCATTTTCTCGTTTCTGGCCGCTCAAACGGCTGGCCCATACGGTTGGTATCGGCCCACGCGTTCCGTCATAGCAGACCGACTCCCCCTTCCCCCAATCCGGCAGCCACGGCCGCGGGGACCTCAAGTCACGCCAAAGGTGCCATCGAACCCGGCGACGGCGACACCGAGCTAGAGTTGACACAGGCGTCCAGACATCAGCTGCGGCACGCGACCGACGCCGGCTGCACGAGACACGGCGGCGACACCTCTTCGAATCGACACCTCAGGCCGCCACTGGCCGTCACGAAGTGTCGCACTGATCGTTAGCGATCGTTAACATGAGGAAGGAATAAAGACAAGGCGACGCAGGGAATGGTAGCAGCAGGATATGATGGAAAAGCAGGCGAGGGAGAGACCATCAATCTACTATCCTCACCACCACCACTTCTGCGCAGTGCGCACGTATGCAAAATCCTCACATCAATGAATGTCATTCACAGTTCGACATACACGTCACCGAGCTGCTATCAGCGGCGAAAGACAGCAGCTCCGGAGATGGACCGGACAGCGGGTGTCTAAGAACCACCTGAACACGGCGCTGTCGACTCCACCTTCCCAGTTCTGGATGCTAATGAGGTGCGGCGTGGGATAACGTGAGGATCGCCAGTGCAAACAGAAGTCCAAGCCCAGATAATCCATCAGCGAACCATCCATCAAAAGTTAATCAGCGTGGCGGCTGAGATTCGACGGAGCTTCAGGAGCTACTCAGTAGTCATACATGTCTCTTATAACCGCCAGTTTTCCGCTGACTTCGCCAGCAATCACCACAAAATATACCACCGCAGATGTCAAAACATGTTAACTACAGTTGCCACCGAGGCCACCAGCTGCTGGGACAGTGCCTAGCAATGGGAAGATTATAGAGAGAAAATAGGATTACCCGGTGTTTTCTTTGCGAACATTGCTCCCGCCGCTGCCGACTAGCGACTGCACCGAGAACGGCGGCATGTATACCGTCGGTTCGTCGAACTGTCGGTCACGGCGCCGCCAGCTGCCGACCGGGTGTCGCCATCACATTGCTGAGTTCGTGGTAGTCGGATCGGTGGACGGGGGATAGACGGACGGAAGCACGCTACTGAATTCGGCGAGACCCCTGCGCCGCTAGCTGACGGTGGGGTGTCCGCGTTATACCGTCGGGTTCATGACAGTCGGGCAGATGGACAGATGAACGGACGACGGAAGGAGGTACGAGTCTTTGTCACTGACGAATTCGGTTAGACAGATGAGTGAACAGAAGGAGCTCGCCGCACAAACGGGCGCAACTCGCCACCTCTGAGAAGGCTCGAAATGCGCGCCGCGGCACCAAAGAGCGGTGACTGGTGACGGGTAGCGTGCACCTTCCGACAGAAACTTTAACATTACGCAGGGGCAATGGGCGATCCCGTGGCGAGGGTTAGTAGGTGCTCTCGTGCAGCTGTCTTATTCTTAACCCGCGACCGCCTGGGGGGGGGGGGGTCGGATCCGACCCCCCCCCTCCGTTTTTCTTGAATAACTCATGAATCACTTTCGCTATCTACTTGAAACTTGGCATACCTTCTCCCCCATCAATTTTACGTCTCCTGTGCAATTTTTAAGAAAAAATTTCCAAATTTTTTTTGATATATATCGATTTTAGTGATGTAACTACATGGCGTTTTTAGTCAAAAAGTGGTAAATGTTAAAAAAATCGCCAAAAATCAGGGTTTGAAGCAAATTGCAAATTAAGGACATCAAAAGACGCAGCTCAACGAGTTCTTTAAAATGGCTATCTCGGATTTTCCATAAAATGCGTTTTTCACCCCTAAAAATTCAAAAATTTATACTTTTTGGAAAACAGCTAATAAAATCCAAAATTTTGGGAATTTCCAAAAAACCGGAATATATGTTGTAGAGCTCTATTAGAACATTAGATGCCCCAAATTTCAACTTTCTATCTTGATTTTTGACCCCCAAATTGTAAAAAATGGTTCCAACATGCATAGGGCATGGTGACGTCATAAGCATTTTCGTGAATTAGAGGCACTTCTGAACATCGCATGTGAAAACAAATGGCACCACTAGATTCCTGGGACGAAACTCGTTTAGAAAAGTGCATTTTTATGTCAAAAATAAAAAGTTGAAAAAATGACCTTTTTTTCTTAGCCCTCGTTTAGTTATGTATAGTATAAACGATTTTTTATGCTTTCAATGCACACTTATCACCAGCACAGTGACTTGGGGTCACATATAACCATTACCAACGGATTCGGCGTGAAAAATAAGCCATAAAACATGTGTCGCACGCCCATGTAGCAGAAAGTGAAAACCGTGACCTTTCGTGACCTGACCTGACCTTGACCTGTACCTAGTATGACCCCTATACGCACATGGTACCTTCACTAGGCCTTTGAGGTCATTTTTGGTGAGTTTCGAGCAGCAGCTATCGATTCCGCTGTCCGTAAGCCGATTCATGCAAAACCCCTGAATTTGACCTTTGACCTGACCTTGACCCGAAAGTTGACCTCAATCTTAAAATCTTAAGAGTGCTTTGGGAAGGTCTCGTAGAGACCTTTCGAACGCCGCCTCGCGGGGCTCGATACGACCATTGGTTCTCGAGATAACAGGGGGGGGGTCGGATCCGACCCCCCCCAGGCTGTCGTGGGTACGGAAATAGCCCAGGCGGTGCCGGGTTAAGGCCTGGCTACACTATGCGTTTTCTTCGTGCGTTTTTTGCGTGTTTGCGTGTTTTGCGTGATATCGTTCTAGAAAAAAAAGATGGATATTACGTTTTTGTGATGTTTTTCACCTTAAATTTTAGTTACATAAGAGTTATATTAGCTTTTGTATATAACCAAAGTAAAAATTATATAGTTTATAACTTTTTTCCTAGAACGATATTACGCAAAACACGCAAACCTGCAAAAACGCACGCAGAAAACGCATAGTGTAGCCAGGCCTTTATACTGTCCTCGGTTTACAGCATCAACGTCTGCAGGAGTGGGTCTATTGAGGTCGGGAAGTCTTAGCACGTTGACAACTTACAAACGACAATGTAGCGATTACGACAGATACAAGAGAAAAATAAATGCGCATTGCAAACGGGTTAGCAGGCGACGTTCAGTGCAACATCTGTTTGCAAGGTCAATTCATTTGCTCATGCATTCGCGGCAAATAAAACATCGTCACACTCACGTACTTGTAACAGCGGTGCTGTCTTACATTGACTTGACAGGTCAAACAGAAGGGACATTGCGACGTAGAACTGTAACTCTTTGGCTGAAATACTGCGACGATAATCGTACCATTTAAAGAATATGTGAGGTAGTCCCGTCAGCTTATTGAACCACAGACATGCTAATAAAGATGAAAACGTTCTTCAAGCGCTCTTTATGTAAAGATCAGTTTATCTTACTTATTCCGTATTCGACTAACACACCAAATGTCCGCCAGCCTGCATTCAGAGACTTGCCTGCATTTAGCCAACTAATACCTACTTCATCATTTGCCAGTTCGATTCGGTAATCCACCCCGTTACAAACCATTTACCAGCCAACACGTTCGTCGAAACGGGGTCCAACCGTAACGACCGCTGCCGCCGGCACCCCATCACTCGAGTCGCACCTCACGGCCGGTCAAAACAGGAGCGTCAGAAGCCGCTGTTCGCGAACCATCAGCGTGTACCGGTGGCACGCTATGCCGGTCGGATCGCCACCTAAACCGTCCGGCCGTCCACCCGGCCTGAGTCACCAGGGGAGCAGCCGGCACGTCCCACGTGGCCGGCCGGCCGCCAGCCCTACCGACGCCCATGCATAGGCAACGAGGGTGGCACGCGGCGGCCGCACGTGCTCTTCGGCCGAGCGTCGTAGTGCTCTTGGCCGCGCTCGGGCTGCACGGTAGCTGTCCTGCCGTCGCCCCGGGCCTGATATCATTACGGTGATCAGGAGCACGGACTGAATACTGGAACTGAGCTGATTCACTATCAAGGAGGAGGGAGCTGTGAAAGGGCCAGCGATGCTAAAGAAAAAAAACAGCCTAATGACCAGAGATGTTGCAAACGTCACGACGAAACCGGAAGATAGCCCAATATGAGGCTTACGCAGCCCTGGTATCCATACTGTCCAGTATTCAGCGTCCGTGCTGAGACGCCGAGGGAAAATGTACCATGTATAACCCAATCAATGGAAAACCGAAAACACCAGCTAATGTCAGGCTTCAAAATAAGTAAAACTAACAACTCCGATATGAAAACGAAATTCATCGAAGTAATCCCCATCCCAAACTTTTCATTCTCCAACAGCAATACCGTCGAACATTTCCAGCCCTCGTCGCTCCTCTTGCGCTGAAGCTCCTTTTCCCAGAACACGCCCAGAGGGCACGGCCCTCGGTACTGTGCGTGGATCCGGCTCATTAACGGGGCAGTCGGGACGCCGCAGGGGTCAGCGAGACATTACCGGTGGGACCGTTATGGCGGACATCCCGCTGACACCCCCGCAGCCCCCGGGCGCAGCCGCTGGGTCAGGACAGCACTCCACACAGCTGTGAAAGCAGTAATGATAGCATACCGGCCAGGGCACTGGGGTACGGGGTGAGGTAGGTCGCACAGAATGAAACCAAACGACGGAACGGAGAAATGTGAGTCGTGCAGGCCGGTGTGAAAGTCATGGGGCGGCACTAGGAATGCAGCTGGGATCCCAGCTCTGAGGCAGCGCTCACCTTTTGTGTGCCTTGTCGTCCGAGTGGTCTCCAACGAACGTTTTCAGCTCGTAGTCGACCCCACATGGTTTGCCGGTGTCACCTGCCGACAGACGTCACATGAGGTCACTGAAAAACACGCAAGACCGAAAGGGAGCCATGTGTGGGCGAGGGACAGAAATAGAAAATTTTGTCTTGAATGGGTATGATCAATATCAGCGGCGAGTTATGTAAGCACATCTTTAAACGGTTTTACAAAACGTTTTTGTAGGAAATTCATAAGTCGATGAGCAAAGATAGTGGCCACGTTACAAAAAGTCATGTATAATGAGCTTCAACGTTTCAAACAAAAATCGTAGTGACGTTACAAAAAGTAATGCAAATCTTCTAACGAGCTTCAGCGTTTTATCACTTAAAGAAAAACGTTTTTAGCCTTTACATAACATCTTCATTTGCTTCGCGATTAACCAATGCATCTTTACGTAACGATTCGCAAGTTGATTTCTAAAAGGTAGCCTGTGACTTCAATGTTTACAGCAAATCACCGCACACCATTATCGAAAACTATTGCTCGACACGAATACCGGCAAATAATGACGATAACTAACCGAACCACCTTGAAATGGCCACCTTACACACACACCCCCGTGAACAACTGCGTCACTGGAATGTAGAACCGGCTTCTCGGCACTCTTATCTCCGCACAAAGTGTGAATCATCTCGTAATAAAGCCACAGTGCGTGTGAATAAAACGAGGACAGGCCGCGGGGGATTCCAGAGCGGCGCTTCCTCCCTAATGACTCCCGCGCGTCTCATTAATGAGGGAGACGCCTCCGGGCTGACGGAGACAGACCCAGCCGCCGGACGGAGCCCCAGGGAGCGCGGCCGAGAGCTCCGAGACGGCCGGCTGCGGACGGTGGAGAGGGGGAGGGAGAGGGAGGGAGAGAGAGGGGAAGAGAAGAGGGAAAGATATACCAGAAAAATAAAAACAGGGAGCGGGAGAAAGGACGGAAAGCAGAGCAGGCACGTAGCCAGGATTTTGCTCAGGGAGAGGCCACAGGTCGCGGTCTAGTGTCGTACCCCTCCAAAAAGGAAAATACCTCGGATTTGTCCCACTTTTTTGGGAGTGTGGTGGAGCTGTTGTTATCTTTTATTTTACATTAAATTTTATTTTATTTTCGCCTTCAGGGGGGCCATGGCCCCCGTACCCCCCCCCCTTGGCTACGTCCCTGAAGCAGAGGGAGAAGTAGAGCAGGAAAGGGAGAAGAGGCAAAGGTCCTCACGTTCAGACGCATTGGTTACCTGAGAGTGTATGTAATGAAGATGCGATGCAAAAGCCAGCTAGTGAACTACTGCCTTAGGTTAATCTACCCATCTAGCAATGTCTAAAAATGGTCCATTGAAACCTAACTGTAAGCAAGTCTGACAAACCGCAATGTTGCCAATGTCCGAATCAGAACTGGATCTAGCACACAAACATTCATATTATAGCAATAAAGTTAGGCGCTTCCGACAGCAATCTAAATATGAAGCTCGTTTAGGATATGCTCACTCGACCATTGGATAGGTCGTATAGTTGTTATACGCGGCTATGGGCCATCCCGTATTTCAGCTGCTATTACTGCATCGATATGGTAGCTGTTTCACATTGTCCCCATTGAACAGTTCATAACGCTAGGCTTTATTCAGACATGGCGCTTAAATTTCGATGACTGTCTAAATAAATCGGATGATGATTATGGTGATCTCAACATAGTTTTGAGCCGTCCAATTTCCATTGTCCACTGTTAAAGCATGCCAACGGCAGATTACCTTGCTATTTGACGTACAAGGCCCTGGTCAATTTGACGCAGTTGAAGCACTTTGAAGTGATCTCAGACAACCCTTTTGTGAAATTTCCATTACCAAGTCACAACAAGGAAGAATCCAACACTTCAAAGAAGACTGCTGCACGTCTCAATCCTTCCGCCTGAAAACGCGGCACAGGCTCATTCTCGGCTAGGGAGAAGAAAATAGCAGCAGGACGCCTCAATCAGTCGAGTGCGCCTCCCCAAATGAGGCGGTCTTCAGCACGACAGCGGCGACTGGGCGGGCGCCCATTCAAGGCTGATTGATCGGATCGACGCAGGCCCGGAGCCGACTAAAGCCGCCCAAAGAGCACGGGCGGCCGGCCTGGTCAGGTAAGTAGACGTATGGAGCACTCAATGCCCGGTAACTAGTGCATTACTTAGTTATGAGAGCATAAGAGCATGCTCACAACAGTACAGCCACAGGGGATATTCAGTCCCAAGGCAGTTATGAACATGGATCGGCTGCTCCCATAGACCGATGGGATTTGGGAAATGGCCAGCAATTGATTGCACAAAAAAATCACTTGAGAAAATATGACAAAAATACTGGCGAAAAGCAGAGTTACAAGTGCAAGCCGACATATATACCAAATACCGTCCTAAGTGTTTCGTAGTCCAAGCCCAAAGCGCAACATACAGCTATGAGGGGCTCCTAAAACAACTGGAAACCGCCTAGACCATTGTACCTACTCGTATCTTAATATGATCCTGACACCGGCATGGCATTGGCCCAGACTCACGCCGGAACTGGGCCGGGGGCCAGTCCGGCGAGAGAAGGCGTCACTGCCCGCCGACAATGTGACACTGGCGGCGCGCACTGACGTCATCCGCTGACGCGCGGCGCCCGGCGATGACGCGCAGGCACGCCGCCGGTGAGACGCCATCGGCGGATGACGCTCCGCGCGGCGGACGACACCGGGGGCCGGTCAGGGGCCCGCCTGAGATCTTCATTCCGATCGCGTACCGCACCGAGACTCCCGTAACAGGCGTATGCCAAAATAGGAATAATGTAAAGCGATAAAAACGGAAGTGAGGATAGCGAAAAAAAAAACACAATAGAACAATGGAAGGATAAAAATAGAATACGCAAAACGCAAAAAGTGGAACCGAAAATAGATTTGCACACTCATATTATCAGTCATTCTTATTCAGAGAGCGAAACAAAACATCTCTTGAAGCCGGAGGGCGAAGCACGCTCCAAATACATACATACCCCTGCCGCCTGCGAACTAGCGGACCGAGCCCAATCACCGAATCGATGGCGTTTAGCCAGGCTCAAAGCCTGGTGGCATACGATCGATTAACAATTTGCATAATGGCCTTTAGCAAATGATCAAACGGGAGGGAGCAGAGAAAGTGGACGATATCCAACTAGTAAAATATCGGTGAGAGGCGGTGATAGATATCAGTTGGTTCCAGTGTTATGTTCAAGTTTATGTGAATTTATGAGGCAACAAATGACAGTCACAACTCACAGTAAAATAAAAGTCGAACGATCTGTCAAAGCAAAACATGAAATCCTGGAAGAACTGCAACGACATGAAATTGAATCGCCCATAACGAACAGATAAAACACGAATGAAGGGTCGTAACGTCCGAGTAATTAAACCAGAGCTCCACACGCTGACAGCAGATAACTCTAGTAGTAAGTATCTGCCGTTTTCCCCTTGTCCGTGCGAAGGCTAACTGAAAGCGTCACACGAGCCTCTCCAGCAGTAGACATAACCTCCAAAGGTCCAGCAAGGCTGCCGTCTGCCCCGCCGCCTACAGTCTGAGTCCAGTCTGTGTGCCCGCTGCTATCTACTGCGTGTGCGAGCAGACCTATCCGTTGACGTCATAGGTATATCGCACCACGCACATTGCATTAGCGTCAGATAAGAGGAGGGTTCCAAGAGAGCAGCCTACAGAAGTACCCTGGAGAGTTCCTAGAGGAGTAGTGCTGCGTTACACGCCTACACATGGATTAATGAGCATTCAGTACGCCTTAGGGCTTGTCAGTGAATATTTCATCATGCTTTCTGCCCTAACAGCGCAGATTCCCCAATCCCCAGTTCGCTAGAGCTGACTTCTAGCTGCTGGCACTACCATCACCATGTCGCTATGGTCTGCGGTCGCCCAGCAGGTCATGCTGCGACCTTACAGTGCGCCGTATAGCGGAGAGTGACACTCCACACCAGGATTAAACCGGCATTCCTCCTGCAATCCGCCGCCGCCGGCGACCGGCTCTGTGACGTCACGCCATGCCGCCCGTGACGTCATCGACCACCAGTGGTGACGCACAGTCCACAGACGCCAAAAGCGGCCGCTGGGTCCCGGGACCGGACCCGACTGACCGGCCGGTGGCTCGTGAGACGGCGAGTCGAGCCGCTGAGAGTCGTTGAGTGTTCACGATCGAGGTGACAAATTGACGGGCCGACCTTGTCATGTTGGAGTCAATTCGACGCAGGCGCGACAAAAATGGATTAGTGGGCTAGTTGGCGATCGATGGAGACTGAAACGCCTTGACTCGGCCCGACGTCCATAGCACGTAGTGGATCCCATTCTGGAGAGTAGTGCCAACTACCACACCACATTACTATTCCGCACACGTACCCGTACCCAAAATAACCCGCCTGTTCAGCCCACAGCCAAAGGGCGATGCTATTGTCACCAGCGTAGCTGAGAGCTCCTGCATACACCGATGAGGTTCATGGACTTCACACTGCGCTGGTGAGACTCCGCACTATTCCTCACTGCGCCGGCCCGCGCTTACCGCGTACCGATGGTGGAATGTGCGATGTCCTTGGCCCACCCTCCGACCGCCGAAAAGATTGGTGCCGAGGTTTGGCGATTTACCCGGAGTATACGAGATCCTGAAGACATTCCTCCTGGCCGCAGCAAGGCTACAATGAGCGGGCGGCGAAAAAATCGCTGATCCACCGACAAAAAGACATATGGTCGGAAAAGCGTCAATGCCAGGACGGTAGGATCTGCTGTCGAATTTGTCCCAAGTTCAACTCGTGCCGTGTTTATCGTGACAGTCAGTTCGTGATTGTCACGGGGACTGTCCGGCTCACGGACCGGCGCCGGTGGCATCCGGCAGCCAGCACGTGCCACGAGCGTGACAACCAGCAACGACTGAATGCCTTTTGTGCTTACTGCAGTGCAGCCGCGCATTGTATGGTATAGTGATATCGCTGACTCCTGAGACACCTTATGACGTCATTCTCCTCAGTTTACAATGTTTTGTACGACAAAGAACGTCCATCAAAGACCCAACGAAGTTAAGATGATAAGGATTATCACATCAGTGTCACAGATGTCTTGACCTTTCTGACCTATGACGTTCGACGGCGATTACAAACACCGAGAGAAAAAGGTGTCGCAGAGTAGAACAAAGCCAGTAGCCGGGTCAAGTGGTCCTGACAGTGCAGTATTTGCTCACCTGCGAACCAGCCGCAATCAGCCAGAAAGGTTACGGCAAGGCAGCGCCATTTCGGATTGCCCCTTCGAGAAAAAGGCACTTCCGAGCAGTTGAAACGCTCGTTAAACACAAAATAGATCAAATATTTGACGCGAGAGCAGAAGTGGATGTGAAAAACTAGCGAAGAGCCTCGAAGAACCAATTTGACTTCAGCTGTCACTCGTAAAACTCGTAACTGACGATTCGCCGATTTTACCACGTCTGACAAGAAACAAAACAAACAAACACCACCACTTTTTGCAGAGAAAGATCAACAAGCAGCGCTGCGCCGCCGAAGTGTTGACACCCAATCCTCCCTCTCTAGTTTGCAGAGGCTGAAGAGTGAGTATCCAGTTGGGCCAGCACCGGACTGGCCTTGTAAGGAATAGGGCGGTTGCCCATTGCGGGCACTCCATGCCCACTACACCCAGCGCATACAGGGATGGACGAGGTAGACGGATGAGTCGCATCCATCAAAGATGTTCATAGTCTTCATACACATGTCAAAATATCCGACAGTCGGCCAGTCTGCACACGAAACGAGCCGCAGATTGATCGGGATTCAAAAAAGAGTACTCAGAATCATAAATAGCTATTTTGAATAATTTAGAATGAATCTAGTATTTACCGTAATATTCTGAAACATTCACCCGGTCACCGACATTCGAACTGGCATACGCCCGATCGATCCTTCGCCCTACACGCCATCAGTCGACTTGACGCAGCCATCACGAGAAGTGACGTACGCTCGCATTCAGTCAGTGAGTTACGTCGAAATGTTGAAAAAATTTCCTCTGTAACCTTAAAACAGAAGGCATTTAAGTAGTTACAACAAAAAGTTGAGGAAAGGGCCTTATTCGTCACATACCACTCGCCAATTTCAGTTTTGTTCCCATTCTTTTTTACCAGCCCAGTCAGTCTGCACCTCCCCCCCCCTCACCGCCGACCGATGAGATAGCCTGTGCCATCTCGCGAGGCTGACGATCGCCCCCCCCCCCCCGTGGCGCTCGGCAGAAGCCATGACAGGCCGCCCCTCATCGGTCATACATGGCGGCGTCCGTTCTGGAAATTCAGGGCCGCACTGGCAATCCCGGCCTGCTGCTTCACTGCACGTCGAATCGCTATCCGGCGTCGAACCGTAAAACTGAGCCTGTCTGCCAGGATAGCGGTGGTAATGCATCATATGCCGGACAAACCATGAAGCTAATGCTGGTCCCATATTCCACGGTAATGCAACCTCGCTAATAATACAGCCAGAAGACCATCAGTGGCTCGAGCGCCGGAGAGTGCGGAACGTCTGAGAAGGCACGCCAGCAATCGCTCGCCCCGTTCCCTCATCTACGCTGATGGGCGAGGCACAAGAGCCTCCCCGCCCATGCTCGGGGCAGGGTTCACATTGCCAGGCAAAACAGCGGAGGTTGGCTCGGCGGAGCGGTGGGCCGGTCAGAGATTCTCTTCGGAAGTAGAGATGGTAGAGGGAATGGGAGGAGAGGGAAGATAGAAGGAAGACGGAAGGAGGGGAGGGGATGGCATCCAGCCGGGCGGTCGGCGGGCGAACACATAAATCTGGAGCTGTCGGACCGGCACGCGATCGGCACATGCCTTGCTGGAGGGATGGCTGCGCTGCGAGAGAGGAGGTGGAGGGGAAGAGGCGTGGTTGACGGAGACGAGTGTGAGAGATTTCCAACACAAATACGACACAAATGGCAGCGAAGAATAAACGGAAGAGGGAAACCCACCCACTACATAGCTCAGTGGCAAAAGCAGATCACACCATTCGTCTCTGTCTGTCTCTGTCTCTCCTTTCAAAGCACAGTTCCAAGCAACTATTCCAACTCCATTCCACAATCCAGCGAAAAACCCAGCAAGGTGTCACCATTGCGAAAACCCCAGCCCATCGGTTCCAGAGCCGCGTCTCAGGACCACCTGCGGACGCGCCGCATTAGTGCGTTTCCATTTCTTTTTTGTGGTCGCCCACACCGGTGTTATTGCCAATGTCGGCGACAAAGCACCGGGAAGATTCTCCCTCACTCAGACCCGGCTGGAGGGAGCGGTCTCCCGTCGAGCGGTGTCCCTAGCAGCCACGTCCGTCGGACGGGCCCCGGGAAGTTGGGAGATAAGAGACGGGCCTGCACAGAGACGCCACGCTGAGCGACAGCCCCATTTTCCGCGGAGATACAGATAGGTGAGAGGAGAGATGCAGCAAGTGCGATAGAATTGCACGTTAAAACTGGTTTGTGGACGATGAGAGAAGCTCTAATGCACCGGTGAGCCTAAGAATTATGAGACCGAATACACCCACAGACCCACGAAATGTTTTTTTTTACGTACATAAAAAAATGCGGAAGTACCTATGTTGCAAAGAATGATAGTAACAAATGACGTGTTGGCTGAACACCCTTTCGAACTTCAGACTGCCAGCAATTTGCAAGCTTTGCTCAGCCCACAGCATACCCAGCTTGGAAGCAAGCCGCCTCTTCCTTGTCACGCACGCGACGCTACGACCCCTCTTCCCACGCACCGCCTTCTGTCGCACTGCACGAAACCCTCACCCACCCCAGCTACCCCACGAGCCCCGGACGTCACCGTGGGCCGCCGCCAACACCAGCACACAACCCCGACTTAGCCGGCTGACGAACGTCCCACGAAGTTCGGCGTAACGACCGGCCGGTGAGTATCCGATCACGCGCGTCGTCGCCAGTCCGTTATTAGGGGCAGAGTTCACCGGGCCGTAGACAGTAACTGTGACAGGTATTAGGTGTGATGGAGCGGCCATTATACTTGGCTCTGGAGCGGCCGTGGGGGCTCCATGGCGACCGGATCACTACTCGGCTTCGTTCGGTTGTGAGGATAGCGAGAACGCTGGTCTGAAATGCTTGGCTTCACCGAGGTACGAAAGCCATCGAGTCTCACACGTTTCTACCAAGAAACAATGGACTATGGAGAGCCATAATTTCACTCCTTCACCATATGTGTCAGCTTCAGGCGACTGTATTGAAACCCATAGATCCAGCAACAAAAAGTCTGAAGACCTTCAGTTCCAGGCCAATTGACCATTTTCCATGTGACCATTCTCCTCCATCTCCAGTTCATGTATCGCACAGTGGCCTTACCTGGAGCGGGTTGTAGGGTCACCGACGCCGGGCAGTGTGGTGGCAGCTCGAAGAAAAACGGAAACGCGTTGGAGCCGAGCTTCTTGATGAGACGCTCCTGTGAAAAATCGGCGTTCGGTCACAAGATTCTGATACGGAAGAAAAAATAGTACACACTGGCAGTTGTCACACTCGAAACGGATTTCAGAAGAACACGGAATAGAATAGTCAAAAAACGATACACATTAGACCAGTGGTCGGCAGGTCCTCCGGGGTCGTGCCCCCTTTTTTGGCGCCAGGCAGTGCCATTACCCCCACCTGCCAGGCCCCATTGGTGATATAAACAAGGTTGTAAAATTCCATACTTTTCCAAGACTCTGTGGGTACCATATCTGCGAGAAACCACATAGCCCTCCCCCCCCCCTGCGGTTTCTTGCAAATATCTCAAAAACGTTGAGCGCCACCATTTTGTCACATTTTGTCATACCTACATCTTTTTTTGCACATGTTGTGAAAATTTCAGACCAAAGTCACTCAAAGTCAGTTCACCAGATCACCTCAAGTGACCTCACCTCAGTAAATACTGTAACGCCTGTGTAGCTACGCAGAGTGACAGATCTCTTTCAAATTTTCAGGAATTGATAAAGGCAACAGCATGTAGGTACAAAATTTGTATCTCGGAGATTAACCCCGCGTTCGATGTCTCTCGGACGGCGAAGATTCTATGCCGTCCGGCCAATCACGTTCCATAACCGCAGCCGAGCCCCCGCTGACCTTGAACGGGATTGGTCGGACGACGTAGAATCTTCGTCGTCCGAGAGACATCGAACGCGGGGTTAATGTCTGTGACCAAAGGTCAGCTCACTTTCACGCCCTCTCTCGTTATCAATGGGTGAGGTCGCAAAGTCAATGGTAGAAATTGAAAGACGCCTCTTTTGGACGAGTGTCATTCCTAACACTGTGAAGCACTGAATCACAAGTAAACATGACCACTGAACCGGAAAACTATACCCGCAACCCCGCCATGTATGTCCCTGAGGTCATTTCAGGTCGTGAACGGTATCATAGTTTTTCGCTAATAACTTTTGATAAAGGCATGCCAGAGCGATGAAAATGCCTTAGATGTGTTTAGCTCGACGACACAGATCACCTGTGTGCAACAAGACCTTCGATGCTTCTCGACGGGAGGAGCACGATGCTGATGAAAGTGCGCTCTTGCAAGTTCTGAGTGAAACGCTATTGAAGAAAAACTAGCAGCAAACAACGTACATTTTATCAGCAAACAACGTACATTTTAGCAGTTTTTGTCTCCTGAAGGCTAAATCGTTATTCTTAGGTTAAATCTGGGGGCGTCATCAGAAAGAACGTTAAGAGAGCGATCGAATGCGTTTTTCCACAGCGCCTCTACCTCTTTCCTTTCCTGAGCTATATATAGGCCAGTTTGTCGAAAATTGTCAAAGGTTGACCTGGAAATTGGCGAAATTTTACGTTCGATGACCTCTGGTGAGCTGACCTTTGACTTGACCTAAAAAATGACCATAGTTTTCCTTCATCATTTCTTACTCTCTTTCAAACGCCGACTACGGCGTTTCGCTAGTGACCCAGGAGCCATGTTAGTAGGGGGTGTTCAACTTCCACCTCCAGCAGGGCGTGGATACCCAGGAGCCCCATCGGAGCGCGGGTTAACCCCCATACGCATAGGGGTAGCGGGTATTTTTCGGGAATAGATCACGTTAAAAGGGTTGGATCACGAAAAACTGTACCCTCGAGCCGATCATCTTTATCTGTCCTGAAAATAACCCGAATAACCGTTGATTTGTGAGATATTTCTTGAGATCATGGTAGGCCACAAAATCTCACTTCAAGAAGTTACAGCAAGAGCCGATTTACTCGGGACTTGTCATTGACCTCTGAAAGGTCACCAAATGACCAAGAACCTTTAAATTGGGTAGCAGCGGCTGCCTATCTTCATGGGCAGCACGCTCATTTTTCTGCAAAGCTCCAGCTCAGAGGCCGAGATGCTCGGGTCAGGGTGCAATGGACAACTCCTCTCCCTTGCGTTAGTCGGACTGTGAAAACGCCAGTAGGCCAGTTAATACATGACAGTTACCTTTGCGCGACTGTGCGGAATGGTGAGCAGCTATGTATACATACATGAAAATTGGCATGCGCCAGCTAATCAGGTCATGTTTTGTTCGTTTGCCCTCGACTAATCTTTGAATCCTGGGGCACAACAGTTGCAATGTCTGTCCCATCAAGGGAGCCATTAATTCTAAAAATGATGAGGCTTTCTCAGAGTCCCTCATTACCCCCCGCCGAAGGGCGCCATTACCCCCAAAGGGGGCATGCCCCACCATTTGCCGACCCCTGCATTAGACAAATGTCTTGTTTAGCGCACACAACATTTGATATAGATGACTGAGCGTTAGTGACATAACAGCAGCAGCAGCAAGATAATGATATTGACAGATCAGACACATTGACAACATAAACGACGACAGCGACGACTAATGACTGCTCACAGATCACCCCGAAAGTCAGCGATGTTGCCGAAACCACGTCCGTGACGGTCGGATCGCCGCCACCGCAGCGGTCGGAATACCCAGATATAAACACACACAGGTCCCGGGCGGGACGGACTGGGTCGGGCCGACGTGACGACATGGAAGGTGTGCTTACATCCTGAGGAAAGAGGAGGGGAGGATGGGGAGAGAGCAAGGCCGTCCGACGGTCTGGAATGACTCCGAGATGCCCGGGATGGGACAGGGTGAGTGTTGGTGAGATAAACTGATGCAATGAATACTGTCATTATTGACTGGTGATCAATAATTCAGTGAATGTGTTGAATCGCCAATAGGCAACAACTCAAACACTTCGAATAAATCATACTTCCGATGCATGCAGGGGTGCGACGAATTTTAAGACAGAAATATGGTCAACACTCTCTTTGATTTCAAACTTCAAAGTTCCGTCGATTGATATCCAGCTCAAAAGCGACTAGAATCTTCAGCTGGCGACATTTTCAGGGCTTTGATACAAGTGACTTTGATAGAGGACCAGGAATATAACGATCCCATCAATATTTATGGCATTACGCAACAGCTGACGTTCCAGCTACTCCAAATTCATCCAGTCGCCAACACAACGTGCCAATGCCGCTCCGAGAAAACGCATTTCCGAACACCTCAGCAGCACGGTCCGCGTCCGCAGCCCGCCGCGCCGGTCGGGACCGCCGCTCCAATAAACGAATGACTCACACCCGGGCCACGTAGGTCTGTACGTGGCAGGCCACGGGGCCGACCGACCCGGACGCAGGGGTCGCACTGAATGGGTCGCCCATCGATGGGTCCTCGTCCGGCATAGGACCAATGAAATGACAGGGAGCCGAGCCGTTTGCTTTCAGTCAGTGGCACCGATGATAACTTAAGACGTCGAAATGCACATAAGTGACTAGTGAGTGCCTTTTTTCTTCAAAAGTCGCATATGGCATGTCTGTTGAAAGCAGTGTGGTATGCCTTTTCAATGTGCATGATCGTAGTATCTAGCAATCTGAACGACACTCAGCTTTTTAAAAGCAACACATCGATGGAAAAGAACCCCATTAGCACGACCTTTTCAGTTAAGCAGACGTCCAACGCACTGTACCCGTGTAATGGCCCCTGAGCTGCGTGTCGATAGCTCCAACGACCCCCACGACGGTCAGTAGCCCAGTGACCTCGCGGCCGTCTGAGTCACCCCGGCCCGCGGGAGGTGTTGACCCCCAGGTCACTGTCCGGCACTGACAGTGTGCCCCGAGGCGGCAACGAGCAGGAGTCGAGACGGCCTACACGGTGTCCGGTGGACGAACCCCGTCCGATGCTCTCATACCTCGTGGAATTCAGAGCATAGTCCGGCAGTCGACACAGGGTGGACGACGAGGGGGAGGGGAAACTGGTTCGGTATAGACGATCCCGCCCCAAACCCTAAAAAAAAAACGGTCGAACCCTTCACTTTTCAGTCATATCCGACAGGAAACTGGGACGCTTTGATCCTGCAATATCGCTCTTTGCGTCTTTTGCATTCATCGTTCGCATCAAAGAGGAGAAAGATTAAAAATGAAACGCCGCCACCGTGCCTCAGAGAAAAATGGCGCACGCACATATTCAGAAGGAAACCTTCCCAAAAGTAATCCTTGTATTGGATAATGATGTTTGCTTTGATGCAGAAATATCATAAAACATTTTAGACCAGCTCGGAAGAGGCGTAACAAAGTTTAGCGAAATTAGATATTGGATAATTTGGATGCCTAGGCTGGAGCATTAAACACAATAGATATGGGTTCAAGTTTCGGATACAAGTTTTGTCTCCTAACATTACAAGTCACCTAAGTTGTGGTTTTACGTCACCTAACCCTTTTTTAGTTACCACCACACCCGCCTGCTCAGAGTTGCAGCGCAGCAACACGGAAGCAATCATTTCAGGAGGGATGATGGAGAAGCTTTGGAGCACGGAAGTGGGCCGGTTTTATGGAGCCCTCGTCGCCGCTCCTCGTCAGTGGCGTGCCGACACGGGCCGCTTGGCAATAGGGCCGGCCCGCCCTCACAGGGCCAGCTCGGCAATAGAGCCGGCCCACCCGCCCTCACCCCGCTGCACTGTAGGCGTTCGGGCCGGTCTAGCCTCTTACGAGGCAAAAAAATTATTTTGCTTTTATGAAAACAAAAAGCATACCAATCGACTACAAAATGTCCATACATTACATAAATGACCATTATCTGGTCATGCAACAACTTGGTATAGGGTGAAAGGGGCTTCAAACACAAATATTTATTAGGCCGTAGACAAGTCATAGGTTTCGGGTGTTTGAAGAGTCAAAGTAGATGCCATGAGGATCCTATGTGCGTGAGTTTTACACGTAAATGGTTTTATGAGTTGTTCTGTGACATGTTACGACCAATTCCCCGCAACGAAAAATGAAGTTGCGAAAATCATTTAGCAGCATGAGAGATAAACATGTCATCGAGTTATTTTGTATGCTTAAAATGAATATCACTCACTATGTTAAAGCCGATCTTTTGAGTTCCCCCAGGTCCCGCGCTAAATCGTGTGTCACAATGTGCATTGTGATTAGAGTTGCAAAGTTTCCCTACCGCATTACCGGCATGCCGGTAATTTTTCACTACCGCAGGTTTTTTGTGGTATCTGGCATGTCTTGCCGGTAGCATGCCGGTATTTTTTGTTTTGCACAAAAAAAATTATTAGCATATGATTCAAACTTTGGACACTAAGAGGAAAATGTGGCATCTCTTGTAGGGGTAAACTGGAATCAACAATGCAGGTTTTTAGTATGCCGGTAATTTGGTGGTGTTTTTGCTTTGGGCGTGGTAGCATGCCGGTATCCCCAAAAAAAAATTGTGGGGCGGGGCGGTGCCGGTAGCAGCCTTTGGGGGAAACTTTGCAACTCTAATTGTGATGTTATTGAACCGGCCAAGCAATAAAAAAGTGCGCAAACTTGCGCCATTTGCTGCTATGCAACATTTTGCAATACGCTGTCTAGCCTTTATTAGCTCCATAGTGACGGGAGCGAACAAATCAGCCTGCATTTTAGCTTATGTTATTTCAAGTGATGACAGTAACACCAGCCAGTGTCATCTCGTGGGTCAGAAGCATTCTAATTGGCCGGAGGATGAGCTGTCACGTGACCGAAAAGGCCTCAGGCGATGCACAGTGGGCGATCTGGCCGGTCTGGTCTCGCGAAACCTCAAACACATTTTGTTTCCTAAAAAAATGAGAAGTATTGCACATGAGTTAATGGGAAATTCTGCATAAGTCACGCCCCCCTCCCGAGGCCGAGGGGGGGGGGGGGTGCTGCCCCCTTATAGGTTTTAACGTGATAGCTCACAACACGCCTCCGATAAAGAGCTGAAACTTGGCATACTTGACCTTTGATTCAAGCCGGATCTGGTTAAATCAACAGCATTTTCAGGTCACGTCAGGCCAGGTCGCTGACCTATGACGTCATAAGTGAACCTCTGCACGGTCCTCAGATGTTGCAACGTCGCAACGCCCTCGCCCCTCAGTGCCAGAGGGACGTTCACAGGGAGATGAAGATTTCAGGACGTAGTCACGTAGCATACCTCGAGGTCTCACAACTTGTATATCTCGGATTTTTTGCTAAAGTTCACATGCGGTCAGGTCGGTCACGTGATCTCACCGTTATAAGTCAATGAGGGAAATATGGAAACTGTTATTTTAGCGCCAGAAATGATCTAAAACTATCTCAAGCACATGGAATCATGGTTTCATGCGCTTCCTGCAAGGTACGGTGCTACACCTTTGCATTGCTAACCTTGCATGACGTCATTTATGACGTCACAAGGGCCATATTAGTTTTCCGTCAATACCTCCGGAACAAAGTAAGTTAGACAGTCGACCTCCTTTGACCAAGTTCGTGACCTGAGGAACTCTTACCAGACTTTGACTCGAGGTCAACGACTCAAAACCTTAACCCTCGGACTTATAAGGGGTCGAACGGACCACCCTCGTTTTTTCGCGAATAACTCGCGTAAAAAGTGGTCGATCAAGACGAAACTTTCAGTACATTCGGGTTAATCAATTTTACACCTACACTGAAAATTTCATGACCCTGACCCAAATCACCTTTGACCTGTGACCTATTTCCCGAGACCATGTTTGGCCGGAATCGCAATTCGGCGTGTCGGCTCACATTATCCGCGCGTTTGCAGTCTTTTTGTGGTTTCAAACGTTCAACCATGTGAAATGATGTTGGTTCCATGCATTATGCTGGGTGTCAAGGTCACCTGAAGGTCAGGTCAGGTCATTGACCTTTGGTGACCTCGTTTCACTTTTTCGAGTTTTACATGTTTCTAGGCTAGTTTTTGGAGCTGATTTCGAATTTAGCGACCATTTGAGCATTTAGGAAGTAGTTTTGGTGCCTTCTTATCATGTTACGAGGCTGTCAGTAGCGGTTGACACTAGAGATTGCAATCCCGGGATCGGGATCCCGGGATCCCGGCGGGATTTTAATCCCGATCCCGATCCCGAAATTCCGCCAATCCCGGGATCCCGAAAATATCAGTTTTTCACCATAAAAAAGTGCAGCCGCTGCACGAGTCTTGTTTACACTGTTAGTGTTCATGGTGCTGAGTGACATAAAGCTGAGAAACTATTTAGGTGGCACCCCGTATCGGCCGTCCACAATTGACCGTGTTGGTAGCTCCCGGGTATCACCCACAGCGGATAAGCCGCTTGAATGTGTACGACAAACGGTCCTCAACGCCAAAAAATTGCAGCATCAGTGCAGCAACATCTCAATCAGGACCACGGATCGTTCAGCGATTCTGACTTGTCCGTCCGTAGCCGGGACAAAAGAAGTCATCAAGACAGTGTTTGAGCTCGTGTCGCAGAAAGATGTCACAGATGTCACGCAAGTGACGGCAGAGCTCACTGATTCAAACGTTGAAGACGGTAGAGTGGAGCTCTCCCAGTCAGTGACTCTGCCCTCAAAGCGACTTTGGAGCAAAGCCTGAGAGACATTAGTGATGAAAGCGGAACCGGAAGGAGGTGAAGTGACCAAGCGACGTCTTGAAAACATTGTGAAATAGGGAGCTGCAAAATTTGGCGTACGCTGGTCGCCAGTTTTAAAGTAGACAGACCTACCAGCAATGGCTTAATACTGTCGCGCTAACTACGAGTAGCGTAGACGAAGAGTGAGTGAGGCGTGGATGTGCTGGAATCCGTCTAAATGACGAGATAGTAAACGCACAGGTCGGCGCACAGTTTTATTCAGGCCAATTGGCCTAATGCTAATCAAATCGAAACGTTTCTTTCGCAAATTCAATCGTGTTTATTGCAAATGACATGGTGTAAGGATGGCTTTTGGTTGCCTCTTTGTTTATGGTAAGCTAAAAGACGCAAAATATGTCTGTAGGAAATTATTCTTACGACCTTTAGTGACAAGACCGGGATCCCGGGATCCCGGGATCCCGTAATAAAAACTTTCGGGATCCCGGGATTGGCAAAACGTTCCGGGATTGCAATCTCTAGTTGACACCTACTATGAATACCCGGCAGGGCGCATACTGGTTGACCTGACCTGACCTGACCCAACCTGGCCTAAATGCATGAAGAAAATCATCTGTGATCAAAACTAGCATGAAATTCGTGATCAGCACCCCGAAAAGCCCCAAAGCAACCTCACTTTACGATGTTTTAACAGGTTCCGATTTTCCCGACTTTTGGGTAATTGACCTGGCCTGGAAGGTCAAACAATGACCTAGGACCTTAAAATTGGGTATCATCGGCTTCGTCTCATCACGGGCAGCAAGCTCGTTTTTTCTGCGAAGCTCTAGCTCCATCAGGGGCCAAACCGCAAGGGGGAATGGAAGTGCTCCGTTTTGCCACGTTTATGCAACATTTCATGCAGTTCCTGCACATTGCGAAAGCTTATAACATGGGAAACGTCATGCATTCACGTTCTTTAATGAATTTGCTACAGTTTGGTGTGTAATTCGTAGGCGTAGGTCTCCTAGATCCAAGCCTATAAGGGTTGAAAGGTTGTGAGAGGCTAGAACCCCTGAAACGCCCACTGTGCGCTGGCTTGACGATAGGGCCCGCCCGCCCTCACACGGCCCGCTCGACGATAGGACCCGTCCCGCCTTCCCTCACTCAGCCTCCGGGCGGCCCCGCCTTCTAACCGATGGCGACATTAGAAAGCTTTCAACCAAAACATAACTAGTTTTCCAGAATGATGGATTTCATTTCTTTACCTCGTCTGTGTCGCCGCCAACATCCAAAGTTGGGTGAAAGGATGCATTGCTCAAGCAAGAAGGAAGGAAAATGTGAAAGCATCGTTGCCGATAGGTTCCACCGCGCAAGGAAATACCACCTAATACCAGGCTTCAGGATATTTTATAGCCAGGACCATAATAAATTTGCACAGCTGTGAGGGGCTTAAACAGACCGCACCTACCATTCAGATGGAGCCGTCGCGACTACGGCAATACCTGGTGAGGCTGGCACCAAGGCCGGCATGTGGAAAATACCGATTCCAGGAAGCACCGGAAAGTGATTGACGTGTTGCACAGACTTGGAGACGTTGGCAAAATGCGCCATTTATTGCCAGATACACGCAAAATGGCGTTGGTGGGACTGGACCCAAACGCGAAACAACGGACACATCTGGGCGCAGTCCTTCCTTCAAAAACTTTTACATGGCAGCAGATCCAAGCAAGACTCTCCTACCTTAGTTGTTCGCTAACTTTGATTTATTGTGCACCTCTGTTTCCGCTAAAAATAAGCCCCCGGGGTCAGCAAAATCGCCTTTGCGTTTTTGAGGTATGATCATTTTGTCAAAAATGTCTAAAACAGGAAATACAAGCCTCAATAACCTCTGGTATCATCACCCCTAAACTCCAATAAAAAGTAACCAATCTTTCCCTCAAACTAGTTTGCGAATAGCTCTCAAACAGGGACATTACTTGCCGCTGCGTAATTGATGGCTTCCACCAGCACGACATGCTTTAATAATTACCATTTTCGTGTTGACTGATCTCTGGATCATCTCAGGTTCACAGGACAGGATAAGGACGATCATCCGGATGCATGGAAAGAAAGGCAATTCAGGTTATCAAAAACAATAAAAAACATATGTAGTATTGAGCAACACAAAAAATTCACAGGACAGCAAGGTAGGAATGCCAGTCAACGACAAGGAAGACTTAATCTTTGAATTGGTCAACGCGAACGGGAGTAAGAGTTGCGGTTCACATGGAAAAGATACAAGTTACCTCCATTGAGGCCTAACCAGTCTCATCAGTCTACCCACTGACCTATCCCCCATGTCTGACCCTTACCTGTAGCCGCGTGGGCGGCCGCTTGCTGTTCTCCGGCTGCGGGAAGATCTGCTCCGAGGCCAGGTATAGGTCCTTGCGGAAGGTCAGACCCAGCACATCCAGGTCCTCCCGGCCGTACCGGAACGCCGCCAATACGTGGCCGTAGACCTTGCGGTCGCGCAGGTACTCCGGGTCCACCAGCACAACGCCATCTGTGGGAGACACGGGAGAACTGGGGTGATGGCACTGAACGAGCACCCAGGGAGAATAACCGAAGGTTGAACAGGGCTAGCGAGAGCATGAGCAAATGACAATAGTCAACAACACAGTCTAGGGTAAATACAGAGCACTCGCAGCATTTATGTACTGCATGAAGCATCAAAGCAGGCTTTATATAGCTGTGTGCTGTCGACACAGTATGTTACGGAATTTAGTGAACGCTTCTCTTGGCAGCGATTCAGCGACTATTTTTTTAGCAGTGGTTTAGTGTTTCGACGGTCGTCGACGTGGCCTGAGAAATGTGATGTGGTGCGCAGGAATCGTCTGATGCAATATATACGCATTGAAATGGCTTGAGCCACGTGTCTCCAGGTCTGTGTCGGAGATTTTTCGGATTTATTTGAGAGTTGAGAGTTGAGTCAAGTTGAATTGTCAACATTTTGGTGCCGAAACTGCCCGGGAATATTTACTGAGTTGTTCTTTCCCGTCTCCAGTCTGATATCGAGTATGGCGGAGATAGAGCGCTTGAAGCGTTCGAGGAACGCCGCCCGAGGGTGGCTGAATCGTGCTGGCGAGTCCCTGAGCGCCGCGCTGACAAGCAAAGATGCAAAGCAAAGTGACGCACAGACAAGCAAAGATGTGGATCTTTTTGAACTGGAAACCATGCTTGCTCTCTTTGATAGGAGGATGTGTAACTTTGAAGCCGCGCAGGCGGCTCTTGAGTCGGAACAATCTGAGGAGGACACCCTGTCCGACCAGTCTTCAGGGTCGTTGGACCAGTTGATCATGTTGAGAGCGAGGGCCATGAAACTGCTGGCAGTCCACCAAGCAGCACCAGCTTCTGGTGCTGGGATCCGAGGTGAGACCCCCAAGCTACCGAGGTTGGACCTGCCCCGTTTCTCTGGAAAACCCCAGGATTGGCCTGCATTTTGGGAGGCGTTTTGTGTCGCAGTACATGATTCGAAGTTAGCAGATGTCACAAAGCTCACCTATCTGAGAACGTTGCTGGATGGTGAGGCGAAGAGATGCGTCGAGGGGCTCGCATTGAGTAGCGAGAGTTACAAGATAACATGTGATCTTCTGCAAGAGCGGTTTGGACGCAAGGATTTAATAATATTTTCTCATGTGCAAGCTCTCCTCAACCTTGATCCTATTCCTTTGGACAAGCTCCGTGACCTAGTAGATATCCTCCTCATCCACATCAGAAGCCTGGAAGCCCTCGGCATTACAGGAGAGTCCTATGGTGTCCTTCTAAATCCTATCATCCTTTCCCGACTACCCAATGCTGTCCGCCTGGAGTGGGCCCGTGAAGCCGAGGAGAAGGAGGCTGATCTTGATCATCTCATCGGGTTCCTGACGAGGGAGGTGGAGCGGCGAGGTCGCTCTGGTGTCTACGTGGGACTGGCTGGTGCTGGAGCATCATCTTCATCTTCACGAGCCAGTGGTGCCGGCGCTTCTTCACGGGCTGGTGGTGCCGGAGTCTCCGCTCGGGCTGGCAGTGCCGGCGGTTCTTCATCTTCGAGAGGTGGGGGCAGCCACCCTGCTGTCACTAGCCGGCGCCCGTCTGTGTACACGGAGGCGCGGGGCACCGGCCCTGGTCTACCCTCCGGGGCAGCTCTGCACTCATCTGAGCTTAAGTGCTCTTTCTGCGGTAAGGGACATGTCTCTGAGAGATGTAGAGTGTTCCAGCGTCTGAATCTCCGTCAGAGATTTCAGAAGCTTCGTGAGTTGTACGCATGCTTCTCATGCCTTGAGGTGGGCCATCGGGCCACTGATTGTGGTAGGATGTGTGATCGTTGTGGAGGTAACCATCACCCATTGTTGTGCATGGGTAAGAGTGTCGGAGTGCCATCCCGTGTAGAGGTAGGTGGTGTGGAGAGGGAGCAGACAGCTGCTCTGCCTCAGTCTGACTCTAGTCAGACTCAGAGTCTCAGTGTGGTGGCTGATGCAGCCCCGGAGGGAGGGCCCCAGGGGGGTGGAGGTGCGTCACTGTCATGTGATGGAGATAAGAAGTGTTCTGTGCTCCCTGTAGCAAGGGTGCTGGTGCAGGGTCACGGGGGGAGTCTTGTTGAGGCCAACCTTCTGTTGGATTCTGGCTCAGACACTACTTACGTGAGCAGTGCGCTTGTGCGCAAGGTGCAGCCGCGTTGGTGTGGCTCCACGGAGGTGGGGTATGCAGTGTTCGGAGGAGGAAAGGTTCCCAGAGCCACCCGTGACGTGTATGAGCTGAGTGTGAGTGGTTCACATGGTTCTGTATCTGCCCCTCAGAACCTCAGAGCTGTGGCGGTTCCAGCCATATGTGCCCCCCTCGCGCGTCCACTTCTGCCGGCCTCTGTTCTGGATCAGCTTGATGGTGTAGTCCTGGCTGACCCGCTAGAGAGTGAGAGTCTGCACATCGACATTCTGGTCGGTGTTGATCAGTTCTGGCAACTGGTAAGTGGGGAGACGCGAGTACTGCGAGAGGGTATGGTGGCTCAGAGAACTGTGTTCGGCTGGGTGCTGAGCGGTCAGGTGAGTGGCGTAGATGACCACAAGGGTGGATGTCAGCTCCTGTGTCTGGGTGACATACATGAGTCGGCGCTGCGCCGTCTGTGGTCACTGGAGGGAGTAGGTGTGACGGATGTGACCACTGGTGATGAGTCTGATGTGATGACCACGTTCGAGTCCACTGTGGAACGATCAGCTGATGGTCGTTATGTGGTGAAACTGCCATGGAAGGAGGGTGCAGTTGACCTGTTGCAGGATAACCGAGCTAGTGCTGAGAAGCGGCTGACTGGTCTGGGACGTAAGCTGGAGCGGGACCCTGACCTGCGTGCCCGTTATGATGGTGCCCTGTGTGAGATGGAGGGGGCTGGGGTGATTACAGAGGTGCCTGTGGAGGAGCTGGTAACCCAGAACCCTACATTTTACCTGCCCCACCGTCCGGTAGTCAAGGAGAGCAGCACCTCTACTAAAGTCCGCCCAGTGTTCGATGCGTCCGCTCGTGGGCCTGACGGTGTCTCTTTGAACGATTGCTTGGAGGTGGGACCCTGCCTCCTGCCTAACCTGCTGGAGGTTCTCCTGCGTTTCAGGCGTTGGCCGTTCGCAGTGACCGCTGACATCACGAAAGCCTTTCTGCAGGTCGGTCTGAGTGTCGAGGATCAAGACACCCACCGTTTCCTGTGGGACTGTGACGGTCGTGTGCGTGTGATGAAGTCACAGAGGGTCATTTTTGGTGTAAGTAGTTCTCCCTTCCTCCTAAGTGCTACGATTAGACATCATTTGTCTCTGTACCCTGATTCTCCTGCCATTCGTGAGATGCGTGAGAATTTCTATGTGGATGACCTGTTGTCGGGTGCCGACAGCGAGAGTGAGGCCTCCGCGCTGCTCTCAGAGGCTCAGCGTGTGATGAGAGATGCCCACATGATGTTGACCAAGTGTCGCTCTAACAGCCCCCTGTTGTTCGACAAGGCGCAGGGTGTGTTTGGTGAGAGTGAGCATGTGAAGGTGCTCGGTGTGATCTGGAACCCGACTGATGACCTGTTCGCATTCCAGGGCGTGTCACTGCCTGACGACATTGTTCCCACAAAACGTGTCGTTCTCAGCTTTGTCGCACGCATGTTCGATCCCCTTGGATTCATCAGCCCGTTTGTGATGACTCTGAAATCTCTCTTCCAAGAGCTGTGGCAGCTGGGGTTGCACTGGGATGACCCGCTGCCGGAGTCCTGTCGTGAGACGTTCGCCAGATGGCTGAGTGGACTGGCGGTGCTGAAGGAGCTGCGTGTGCCGCGCCGCTACTCGCCGAGCGCGTGGAGGGACGGCCACGGCGCTGAGCTTCTGGCATTCAGCGATGCATCGCCCAAAGGGTATGGAGCTACCGTTTACATCCGTGTCCCTTTGGAGGATGGGTCATTTCATGTGTCGCTGGTGATGGCAAAGAGCCGTGTGGCGCCTGTTAAGAAGCTTAGTCTTCCTAGGCTAGAGCTTCTTGGCTGCCTGATCGCGGCCCGCCTGGTCGTGTTCGTGAGGAGTGCGCTCCGTCTCTCGCACAGTACTCCGTGCATCTGTTGGACTGATTCAATGGTAGCACTGGGTTGGATCAGGGCCGATCCACGTAAGTGGAAGGAGTTTGTGGCCAACAGAGTGACTGAAATTCAGAGTCTGACGGATCCTGAACGGTGGCAGCACTGTCCGGGGGAGTGTAACCCGGCTGACCTCACCACACGCGGGGTGTCTGCTGAGGAGCTTGTGAGGTCAGAGCTGTGGCTCAGTGGGCCATCTTGGCTGTCACACTGTCACACACCTGACGTGAACCAGTCTGTCTTGGTGCAGCACGATTTGTCCGGCGTCTCTGTGAGTTCTCCCGGAGGTGACGTGTGCCCCCGTGCAGGTGACGTGTGCCCCCGTGGAGGTGACGTGTGTTCCCTTGATGGTGATGTGTACCGAGCTGGTGGTGATGTGAGCACGCCTGTGTGTTCACCAGGCGGTACCGTGCGCACGCCTGTGTGCTCGCCTGGCTGTGCTGTGTGCACGCCTGTGTGCTCGCCTGGTGGTGCTGTGTGCTCGTCCGGCGGTGCGGCGTGCTCGCCTGGCGGGGCTGTGCGCACTCCCGGCGCAGCCGTGTGCTCGCCTGGCGGTGCTGTGTGCTTGCCTGGCGGTGCTGTGTGCTCGTCCGGCGGTGCGGCGTGCTCGCCTGGCGGGGCTGTGTGCTCACCCGGCGCTGCCGTGTGCTCGCCCGGTGCTACCTTGTGCACACCGGACGGAGCTGTGTGTTCGTTTGACGAGAAGGTGTCTGATCCTATTACTGAGGAGATGGTTGAAGTAGAGTCCTTCTGTTTGGTGACTTCACAGTTTGAGGAAGTATTTCCTGTTGAACGCTGGGGTAAGATGTCCAAGGCTGTCCGTGTGGCGGGCTGGGTCCGTCGATTTATACGGAACTGCCGTGTCCCAGCTGACAGGTGCAGTCTTCCTGATCTGACGACTCTCGAGCTAGCTGACGCGAGGCTCGATCTGC